GCAGTTCTCCCCTCACCAGATGAAATTACTGTGCAGAAACACTAATTAAAAGCCCTCACACAGACATGGAGAATGAAGTTGTAACTTTTCAGGGGAGGGTCTCCTAAATGTGCTTTGGAAGTGCCCATCCCGGGCGGGTGGCTGTGTGACTGGGAGCGGGACCTAAGACAGCGCCGCCCCCGAGGCCCCTCGGGAGCGAGGGCCGTGGCGGGTGACAGCCGTGGGTCGTGCCGCCGCCTCGGTGGTGGGGGGTGGCCCGTCGGAGGAGGATTGCCATCCATGTCCCCGTGTGGGGGCTGTCCCCTTTGGAGCCGTTCTGTTGTGAATGGTCAGGTTTTTTTTCACTTGCCATTTCATTACCCAAAGTATTCTGTAACATTTTTGAAGCGTTCTTTCTTTTTTTGTTTATTTTATCATCTTAATCATTTTTGTAGTCTTCAGATTATACGCTGATGTCGTTGGTTTCAAATATTACAGGCCGTGAACTTGAAGGAGGTGTGGAGTTGGTCCAGTGTATTTGGCTGGTGGAAAGAGGTTTCAAATATTGGGTATCAGAGCTACGCTCTATTTTATGCAAGTGTCGCCCTCGCATCACCATACCCGATAACCCCCACACTTAGAGTGTGGGAGGATTGACTGGCCTGCAAATACCTGCGGCGTGCTTACTTGGATCAAAGACCTGCCGCGGAGTTCGGGCGCCACACAGGGCGCAGAGGTTGCGGGAGGTCGGAGCAGAGGAAAAGGCAGGACCAGCAGGTGACCAGCGGGAGGCAGGATTTTCTATTCGGACGTTTGCATCACATTGCAGTGGACACGCCCTTATCCTCTCCATGACCCAAAGCGAGGTGCTGTGCAGGAGAGAAGATTCTGGAAGTGCACGGCGGACGGATTCCATGGGAACTGCCTCACACGCACTGAGCACGTACAGTTCAAACTACAACCAGCGGACGGTTACACGCTGAAGGGCGGGCTGCGTGCGGATGGCCTGGCTTGGACTTCGCCCCTGGGTGCACCCTCACTGTGCAGCGGGCGCCTGAGTCCTGTATTCCCGCAAGTGTGAGGGACACAGACGGAAGGATGCCTGCCCCCCAGAGAGGCCAGAGCAAGAACTCCGGCAAGTGCAGGGGAGAGAGAAGGCTCCCGACACCTCCGCTCCCTGTCACAGGGTCAGGGCACAGGTCCGCACAGGGTGGCCGTGGGTCTGTCCCGTGGCGCACTCACAGGCGTCAAAGAGGACCGAGGTCGCATTCTGAGAGACTAGAGGAGGGGTGACCCAAGGGAACACGACGGGGTGTCGCCACTCCATGTGGCGGGTCTCCGTCTCCCTGCCGCCAGAAAACGAATGGCCCGGGCAGCCGAAACCTTGACCCCCTGTGACAAGCTCTGGGGAAGACTCCTGAGGCCCACGGACAGCGCCCATCCGCACCAGGAGGGCTGTCCCGAAGGGCCCATCTGTCTCATTAAGACGACGTCTTCTTCGGGCCTCAGGCTCCTTATTTAAAACACATAAAAGAAAAATGAAAACTATATTTTATTCTGGCTTTTAAAAGTCAAAAGCCAGTCAAATATATCATTTCCAATTAGGGGTTTTGCTCAACGCGCTGTGAACGTTGGTGATGCTTGTGGCAACTTCTGGACCGAGAGAAGGGGCCAAGGCAAAGGGGAGGCTGGACAAAGGAGCGGGCCAACCGGACAACGCGTCGGGGAGAAAAGGGAGGATAAGGAGAACGTTGCAGTGCTCGGGAATGGGAGGGTTCCCAGAATGCTGCGAGTGCACGGTGAGCCCCAGTGTAAAGGGCCCCCACTCACGAACTCTGCTGTTAACCGCTATCCAAAAAAACCAACAACTTCAGAATGAAGTGAGTATCCTTTCCTTTGTAAAATCATTTCGCCAGTAGACTACCCCTCCTGACTTACGGTGTAGATAAGTATATGAGTCCACTGATGGCGTGGGGTGAGGAGAACCACGCGTTCTAGTTGTCAGCAGGCTCTTCAGGAACAGCTGGTAAAGCCGAGTTTGTTTATCACCATCGGCAGTGCGGCTTGCAAAGATCAAGTCCGCACTGTGGGTTGAATCCTTCCTTTAATTTTTGTTTTCCTGAGACGTCGAGTTTCACAGAATTCTCCGTAAAAGGCAGGCTTCCGAGTGCAGACCAGGTTTGGCGGCGCCGTGCTCCGCAGTGCCTGTCTTAACGAGCGCGCAGGGCCCTGCGGTGAGTGGACCTGCTTGCCTCGGCCTGACCGCGCCTCGCCTCCGGCTGGGGAGCCCCCGCGGTTTGGCTCGGTGCCTGCCAGCAGCTGGCACCCCACTGCAGGGTTCCGTGAGGCGCGCTGGAAGCACTCAATTCACCTGTGGCTAGGGCTGCGGAAACAGCCAGTCACTCAAAAAGCTCTGTGGTTTTATTGGAAAAGAAAAGCCATGTTTTAGGATGTTTAAGCACTTAAGGTGACTGCTGTAAGATCTGCAACCTCGTAACGAATGATTCAGTGAAATACGTTTGTGTGCAGTGTGCATGTGGGAAGGGGTCGCCCCTACGGAAGAGCTGATTGGGAGAGAAAAAGGATGTTCGGGTCCAAGGAGAAGGAAAAGGGGCGAGGTTGGCATCATTGACCAGAGACAGCTCTACGCCGGCAGAGACGCCGGTCGGGTCCCAGCCGAGCCTTGCTGCTTCCCACGGGGTCGGGGCTCCATGTTCAAGGGTCTGTGCCGTAGACCCTCCGGCAGGCCGCGGGGACCTGCCCAGAAGGTTGCCGTCAGGGTGCTTGTCCTCCTCGCTGTCCTGCACGCCCCCGATCCCAGCGTCACGCGGAGAAGCTTGCCAACTTTAAATAGGGATATGTAGCCAAAGAGGTGGGGAGGCCATTCTGAGAAAAAGATCTCAAGTCTGTGTGCAGTCCCGGCTGCTTGACCGAACAGAGCCAGCAGCTTGAAAGTTGCTGGCTGTAGCCAGGACTGGCCTGACCTTGATCTTCCTTAACGCCCAGCCAGCACTGGCCCCAGGGAGCTCTGTCTCACTGGCTGCGTGTCACGGTGTAGGGTTCGAGGGCACCAGCATTGGGGTGCAGCATTTTCCGAGGAACTTCTCAGGGACCTCAGTGAAGGCGGCAGCGCAGGGGGTGGAAGGGCTCCCCAGTTCTGGTTCTGCCTGGATGTGTCGTTAGTGGAGACAATAGTGCAAGCGCTGCTACTGCCCCACGGGACGGGGAAGAGTCCTTGAGTGCCCTGCCGTTTCAGGCCGCCGGGCGGCCGGCTGTGGTCAGCGAGCTGCTGATGGGCCCTCACCACCGCGGGTGTCTGCGCGGCCTCGGCCCCCTCTGAGAGTGTTTCTGTGGCCCGGTCCTCCTCTTCCTCCTTTTTTATTGTTTAACCTTTACAGTAGGTTATAAAAAGTACGAAATTGGACTTTTTCATATTGCTGGTAAATGTTTTATCAACAAAGTGTCCTCTCTGCTTGCTGCACTCATCTTACTGCGTGTTCAAACTGTCACGGTTCTGGGGGGCCCCTGATCGTCTCTTAGGGTGGTTCTATCGCCTCGATAGAGGGTTCTATCTGTTCCTGGTGTGCCTCGCACTTTAAGGCCCTAAAGTTACAAAAAGTGGCAGAAAAATCGTAGTTTCTTATCATACAAAAACAGATGTATACGGACCCTTTCACAAGGGAAACGAGAAACCAAATACTAATTGCTGGAGACTGATGATGATAAAACATATTGCCAGGAAATGACAAAAATATGAAACTTGAAGTTTTTGATTTATATTCATTCACATGTAAATATATATATTTGTATTCATTTACAATATGTGCATTTATATTTATATAACCATTTATATTTTTATATATTTGATTTGTATTTAAGAAGTATTGTCACCTATAATATTAGCAAGGATGGCTAAACAAGTGACAGTTCAATGTGTCTACAAAGGGCCTGTTTGTAAGGTAGTAAGACACACGGGGCAGCATGAGACTTCAGGGGGGTTTTGTTTGCTCGTTTTTTTATACTAATTGTTTTCAATGAACTGGATGCAGTTGGTAGTCTGAAGGTTTTCATTCATAATGATCAAAAATACTTCTTATATATTATTTCTAGATGCTCTTGATGATCACAGTAAACTTTTAAATGAAATATTATGCCATGACCTCATGTAACGCCTACCCAGCAAGAAGTTAAGGATTAGAAGAAGTACTTAGTCATTTTAGAGATGGAGGAAGGTGGTTATTTTACTGGTAAGTGCTTCGGAGTAGTTAGTTCTTTGCAGCCGTGGGGGTGTGAAACCATTTAGAAAGATTCCCCTCGTTTAGGGAGTAATTCTATGCCTGGATGGTGACATTCGCCAGAAATGGTAGGAGATGTTTGACTACGGATTTTTCCCTCCAGCTTTTACCCTTGAAAATGTGTCACTTGAATGGCATGTGTCAGGTGGCGAACGCCCATGAAATGCAAGGTACCCCCTCATGCACACGCCTGTTGAGCTCCTCCAGGCCCTTCCTCCATGTGGGACTGCGCGTGTGTGGAAAAGGCTTCGCTGGAAGCCACCGAACGGGGCTGGCGTTCATGTGGGGGGATGGGCTGGTGCGTCCCTGTGGGCGAGAATTTAAGGGGAAAACGCTGGCGCCCTCGGAACCGTGTACGGGAGCGTGAAACGGAGTTCAGGGCCACGGGGCTCCAAATCTCCGGTCGTCTCTGCGTCATTCCGCGTCCATTTGAAAACCTCAGCCGTAAAGGGCGCCTTGCACGTCCCCGAGTTACATGCGCACTTGGCCGCAACCTCGGCAGCTGGCCGCTGACCTTGCTAAGTCACAGGGCTGTCAGCAAGAAGAAGAAAAGAGTTTCACCCTTCTGAGCGTAAGACTCGATTTTCCAGATGCAATTGCTGCATCCTCAGCAGAATATGTATCCCATGAATGTTTCAAAGTGCTCCTGGGGAATTCTCAAGTTTGTCTCAGTTTGGATTCCGCATTGATTGGCTACTTCCTCTGCTTTTTTTTTGTTCCCCCCAGCAGGTCGACCGGCCTACAACAGCTTCTATGTTTACTGCAAAGGCCCCTGCGGAGGAGTGCAGCCAGGGAAGCTCAGGGTGCGCTGCGGCACCTGCGGACAAGCCACGCTCACCTTGGCCCAGGTAAGGACCCGCGTGGGCGGAGACTGCCGGGAGAGGGAGCGTGCATCTGCAGAGCTGCCTGTGGGGCTGCTGACCAGCTGTCGCCCACACCCCTCACATGGACACTCCTCCACGTGGTGGCAGTGGTTAAGGGTGTCTGCAGTGTCATTCCAAACCACGTGACTGTAACATGTAGGTAGCCTGGGACCTTTGCCCCCATTTCTTCGGTCCAGGGCCTACTGAAAGGAGAGAGAAACTGCTTTTTAAGACAAGCAGTTTCGTAGACTTCTGTGGGGTGTCTTTACAAGCTTTCTGAGATGTTGGAACTGTTTCCTACCTTGGTCTGTGTGGTGCCCACATGTTTGTATGTGCTTGTCCGAATACTGCCCCCTTGAGGTTGCCGCGCGTAAGGCTGCTACCTGTGAGGTGCTCCCCAAGCGCGAGGTGCAAAAGCTGTTTGTGGATCGTCGGCGAGCGGTGCGCCTTTGAAACCGGGACCCGCACACCGGCGTCTGCCGTGGCCTCGGCTTGTGTTTGTGCAGTTCACGAGCGGACAATGCTTTTCACGTTTGTGAGTGGTTGGGAGACATCAGGAGAATCATGTCACGTGACCTGTAAACACTGCAAGGAATTTAAACCCCAGCATCCATCACAGGGAGTTACTGGGACGCGGCCCCGCCCACTGCTGAGCACGCTCTGGCTGCGCGGTGCCCTGGGGCAGGGGCAGACAGACAGACACATTGGATGGCCTCACGGCCCAGACACACCTGCTCCCGAGCCCTCCAGAGAGGAGGTTTCTGAGTCCTGGTGTAAGCCACGGACACAGCCAGTTCCCGGCGTCAGCACCGTGGCTGCGTGGAGCTCGGCTCCATTTGACGTGAATGCGAATGTGTGGGTCGTGGAGAGAGCGCAGCCCAGGAGGCAGAAAAGGTCAGAGCTCTGGGGGGGTCCGGGCCTCCGGAGGTGTAGACGGACACCCCTGGTTCCACGCCGGGCCCCAAGGAGGGCTGGAGGATTTAGACTGTATTCTGCAGGCCACAGAGAGCCGAGGCAAATGTTAAAAAAACAAAGGTGTTGCCTGACGTGCTGTCAGAACTATCCACCGGCACCGTGACAGTTTGTCGTTGGATTAAGTTTGTCATGTGATGGAAGGCAAAGCGGCTCATTAGTTTACTTTCCACAGGGTTCCGCAGGCCTGGGTTAGGGGCGGGGTGGCCCAGCGGTTGGCTGGAGTGGATGGAGCTCGGGGAACACCCTGAGGGGAGCTCTGAGGCAGGGGCGTCCCAGAACCCCTCCCCAGCCTGGGGACAGCGGCGCAGTTCCAAAAAATGCAGTTCAGTGTTTGAGTGCGACACAACATTTCAGCTGCACAGGCGAACCCACGTAGGAAGACAGACCCATAGGTGGTCCCAGGTGTGTCCTGACCCTGGGAGTGGAACTTCCTCTGGGCTGGTCATGGGAATGCCCTTCTGTGTGGGAGACGGGCCGTCCCAAAGTCCCACACGAGTGTTTCTCCCCCTCTCCCCTCGGCCGCCTTCCGACGCAGCCACCAGCCCCACCGCCCGTCGATCCACAGCCCCTCCCGAAAACTCCAGTGGCAGATGTGACCTGTTTTCACGAACCCCCCATGGTTCCGAATGGAAAGAGCAATAGCCAATCATCATTGAACTGCGGGCTTAACTGACTTCATGGATTATCTCGCCTAATTGCTTCCTAACACTCTGAGGGAAGCACTATTAGTAAATCTATTTAGGCTGAAGAAGAAAGAGGCTTAAAGAGATTAAGTAAACAGGAGTTTATAGGTGGTGGATGAGGGGTTTGAACTGGGCTGGGTGCGCTAGGCCCGTTAGCCCTGCAGCTGCCCCTTTCACCGCACGCGCAGCTCTGCCCACGCGGCGGGCCCCGCCAGACGTCCCCAGAGATCGGACGCGTGGGTGCTGTAAGGGTGAAGTCGCGGGTGGGCAGTGAGGGTGCTGAGAACCATGGCGGGTGGGAGAGGCCACGGCCCACAGACAGGAGGCGGCTCCCGCCAGTTGTTACGGGAGCTCAGCGTGGCCGATCTACTTTTTAAGACAGAGAAACCGTAAATGTGCAATTTTACATGATATTTCCCACCGAAAAAATGGGCTCCATGAGGGCGAAATAGAAAACAAACAAAAAGGAAAAACAGCGTGCAGCAGCGGTCTAGACGTGCCACGCCCCACTGCGGCGGGGGGGGGGGAGGGGGCGTCACGTGACGTGCGAATGGGCGGGGCTCCGCTGAGCCCGGCGAGTGGCAAGTGCGCAGGGGAAGTGAGTGGCAGCTGAGGCCCCGCGTGTGCGCGTGTGTGCACCTAAGCTTGCAAAGGCGACTCTGGAGCCAGACCGCCTGCGTTAGAAGCCCCGCCTCCGCCCTTCCTACCTAGGTCAGCTCGGGGACCTCTGTGAGCGGGGTGTGGTTTCTGGTTCTCTTTTGGTGTGAAGGTTAGTGATACGCGAACAGTGGGTGGAGCGCTAGCTGGAACGTGAATACTCAGAAGTCTTCAGTGCTGTATTATTGTTGTCTATTACTGTAAACGCGCACACAGGCGTGCCGCGCTGCCAGCCCGTCTGCAAGCTTCGGCTGGGCAGTGACGTGGGAGGCATTGATTCCGCCCCGAGGAAGGAAACGGACAAGTGCTCAATTTCATTTTCCAGAGATTCGTCAAGATCTGCAACTCACACGGTTTTCTTTGGTCAGGAGCAAGAAAGAAAAAGGAAAAGGGGTCTCGTGTAGCTGACTGGCTGTGGCGGAGCAGGGTATGGTTTATCGGAACCTCTACGGGGGGCTTTTCATACACAGGGAGAGAAATTGGAACCTACCTAGCCACCTGGGTTATTTTTTAAAACGTGATTTTATTTTTTCTGGTCCAGAGAAGTAAGTCTTCAACAAGTGCCATGCCTTTCATGAGTCTTAATAGTAACCTCCTAATTTTTTGTGGTTGTTTCGGGGGAATTTATTCATAATTCCAGCGTTTCCTCAGCCCTCTTTACCATCTGCATGTGGTGATAAAGAGCCGCCTCGCGTACGCAATCTCTGAGGTCAGACTGTTTACGGGGTTCACACCGAATGAAAAACTGTCCAGGAAGATGGATGGCCCCTTCGCCTTGGTGGTAAAGATGGGAAAAACTGATGTCTGAAGTCTCCGCCTGACCTTGGGGACGAGCTGAGAATCGGCGTGGACACCAGGTTTCCTTCTTTGTCCAAACTGTGTTATCTTCTTTATTTCACATTGACCTTGCCCAGGGTTTCCACTCATCAAAACCGCCTTTAGAAAAATGAGCACTCGCTCGGCGACTGGGAACAGTGGCTGATCGGAAAAACGTGGCAGACGTCCAGTCCTCCGCGGCCTGCCCGGAGACCGACCTTGTGGGGCCGCGCAGAAATGCCACAGGGGTGAACACAAGAGGGAGATTGCTTCACCCGTGCACACGGGGTTCTGACTGTGCTCTCGGAGAATAAGATGGGCCATTGAAAATAACCTGCGTCATCACTGTTTTCCTGGTAGCCCGGACGACCTGACAACTGACCAAGCCTTAGCCTCAGACCCCTTTTATTTTTCTCAATCCAGAAAAGTGCGCAGGAGAAGGAAGGCTTCCCAAGATGTGCAGCGCTTACACTGGTTTTAGGAAATAACTGCAGACTAAAGAAGGAGTTCGTATTGGAAAAAGAAACAGCACCGAGAGACAGGGTGCTGTCACTGTCCCTCCCCCTCCCCTCTCGGATCCCGCCAACCTCGAGACGAGAATGTCTGTCACTGCGGTTCCTTCTGTCTGTCCTGTGGTGAAATCATGAGTGTGTGCGGGGTGCAGAGGGAGCCTTCTGGGTGGGAAGCAAGCACGCAGTCCCACGTGGCTCTGAGCTCGGCCCTCAAAGAGTCCCCGGCACCGACTTCTACAAACACACGGTGGCGAGAGGCAGTGCGACTTGCGGAGAAGATCTCCCGGGCTGAAGAAGCTCCCTCAGACTGTCATGCTGATGAGTAAGAGTCTGCTCATGGGGGTCCTTCTGCGAGGGTCCCTCCTCCTCCTCCTCGGGCTTCCAGGTGTCCGCCCACCGAGCCTCAGGATGCTCCCTCCCACATTGCGGACAAGGGGCCTGGCCCTTCTGACCCCCCATGCCCACTGCTGCTGCCCACACTCCAGGTGGACGCTGCCTGCTGTAGAAGGTGAAGCTTCTGGGATAGGAAGAAATGGACCGGCTTTTCTAACAGGACGCAGGTTTTAAATACAGGGAGGATCTTATGAGTGGAGCGTTTATTGATCAGATAACAGGAGAAGCTAGAGTGCATGCAGACGTGAGCATCCTGGGCTCAGAGCCGCCTGGGAGCCAGGAGCTGGAGAGAACGGCCCCCCACGGCCCTTGCACCCACGGGGGCATGGATTCGGGGTCTCACACCGACTGGCTGGGTGACCCTGGGCAGGCGGCTTACCTTCTTTGTCTCAATTTCCTTGCTGTACAATGCAAGTGAGCATGTCACTGAAGTCACAGCCAAGGTTCGATGATTTACCAGTAACTCAGTGAAGGACTGTGTGTGGTGCCCGGCACATTCTAGACATCCGGAGACTGTTAGGTGTCACTGTTATTTGCTCAGGTGAAGGGTTTTCTGCCAAATCTGCACCAGAGCAACTGCTGAACTCCCATTGGGGGCCCCCACCTCTGGGACTCCACAGCGCTGGTGAGGTAGACACTGTTAGTCCCTCCAGCTCAAACCCTGGGAAACCTGGGTCATCCGCCACTAAAATCTTCTCCCTTGCACTCGGTTTATTAGTCTTAAACTGACTCATAAGCCAGGAGGTTGCTGTAGCCAAGAACCCTGGACGATATTTTCCCCTACATTCGCTATAATTATTTTATCTCGGAAAAGAGCTTTATCTTGGCCGCTCTAATGAGATGCTCTGCTGCGGAAGAGCATGAGCGCTAAAAGGTTTCTGATGAGAAATGGTGCAATAAATAGACGGAGATGTAAAACGCCTGCCTGGCCTGATGGATTCTATTTAAA